CCCCCCACCCCCGCCCCGCCGGCCAGATGAGCTCCCAGAAAGTGCTGGCCATTCAGGCCCGAAAGCGGAGGCCGAAAAGAGAGAAACATCCGGAAAAAATTCAAGCAGAAGATTGAGCTGCTGATGTCAGTTAACTCCAAGAAGTCGTCCTCTTCAGAAAGGCCTGAGCCTCAACAGAAAGCTCCTTTAGTTCCTCCTGCTCCACCTCCTCCACCACCACCACCACCACTACCAGACCCTACTCCCCCAGAGCCAGAGGAGGAGATCCTGAGATCAGACGATGAGGAACAGGAGGACCCTGCGGATTACTGTAAAGGTGGCTATCATCCAGTGAAAATTGGAGACCTCTTCAATGGTCGATATCATGTCATTAGAAAGCTAGGATGGGGGAACTTTACTGTCTGGCTGTGCTGGGATATGCAGGGCAAAAGATTTGTTGCAATGAAAGTTGTAAAAAGTGCCCAGCATTACAGAGAGACAGCCTTGGATGAAATAAAATTGCTCAAATGTGTTCAAGAAAGTGATCCCAATGACCCAAACAAAGACATGGTGGTACAGCTCATTGATAATTTCAAGATTTCAGGCATGAATGTAATACATGTGTGCGTGGTCTTCAAAGTGCTTGGCCACCATCTCCTCAAGTGGATCATCAAGTCCAGCTATCAGGGCCTCCCAGTACGTTGTATGAAGAGTATCGTTCGACAGGTCCTCCAAGGTTTAGATTGTCTACACAGTAAGTGCAAGATTATTCATACTGACACAAAGCCAGAAAACATCCTGATGTGTGTGGATGATGCATATGTGAGAAGAATGGCAGCAGAGGCGACTGAGTGGCGGAAAGCAGGTGCTCCTCCTCCTTCAGGGTCTGAAGTGAGTACGGCTCCACAGCAAAAACCTATAGGAAAAGTATCTAAAAATAAGAAGAAAAAGCTGAAAAAGAAACAGAAGAGCCAGGCTGAGTTATCGGAAAAACGCCTGCAGGAGCTAGAAGGATTGGAGCAAGAAGCTGAAAGGAAAATAATAGAGGAAAACATCAGGTCTTCTCTACCTTCCGACGAGCAAGATGATGAATTCCGCCCGGAGGTGAAACTAAAAGCCGTATTAGAGGAGACGGCCGAGGAAGAGACCACAAAGGACAATGGTGAAGCTGAAGACCAGGAAGAGAAAGAAGAGGCTGAGGAAGAAAATGTTGAGAAGGATGAAGACGATGTCGATCAAGAACTTGGGAACATAGACCCTACATGGATTGAGTCACCCAAAGCAAATGGCCATATTGAGAATGGGCCGTTCTTACTGGAACAGCAGCTGGAAGATGAAGAGGATGATGAAGATGACTGCCCAAATCCCGAGGAGTATAACCCTGATGAGCCAAATGCAGAAAGTGATTACACATAGAGCAGCTCCTATGAACAATTCAATGGTGAATTGCCAAACGGACAACATAAGATTTCAGAGTCCCAGTATCCAGAGTTTTCCACCGCATTGCTTTCCGGGCCTTTAGAACCTGTGGCCTGTGGCTCTGTGCTTTCTGAGGGATCGCCACTTACCAAGCAGGAAGAAAGCAGTCCTTCCCATGACAGAAGCAGGACGGTTTCAGCCTCCAGTACTGGGGATTTGCCAAAAACAAAGACCTGGGCGGCTGACTTGTTGGTGAACCCCCTGGATCCTTGGAACGCAGATAAAATTAGAGTAAAAATTGCTGACCTGGGAAATGCTTGTTGGGTGCATAAACACTTCACCGAGGACATCCAGATGTGTCAGTATAGATCCATAGAGGTGCTGATAGGAGCAGGCTACAGCACGCCTGCAGACATTTGGAGCACAGCATCCATGGCATTTGAGCTTGCAACCAGAGACTATTTGTTTGAACCACATTCCGGGGAAGACTATTCCAGGGATGAAGACCACATAGCCCACATCATAGAGCTGCTAGGCAATATCCCAAGGCACTGCTCTATCTGGAAAATATTCTCAGGAATTCTTCAATCACAGAGGAGAACTGCAGCACATCACCAAGCTGAAGCCCTGGAGCCTCTCCGATGTACTTGTGGAAAAGTATGGCTGGCAGCATGAAGATGCTGCACAGTTTACAGATTTCCTCATCCCGATGTTAGAAATGGTTCCAGAAAATCGAGCGTCTGCTGGCCAATGCCTTCGGCATCCATGGTTGAATTCTTAGCAAAGCTACAAATACACTATTCTGAGCTAGCAAGTGTTTTCCAGTACATTGGACCTAAACGTTGACTCTCATTCTTTAACAGGATTACAAGTGAGCTGGCTTCATCCTCAGACCTTTATTTTGCTTTGAGGTACTGTTGTTTGATATTTTGCTTTTTGTGTACTGTGATCCTGGGAAAGGGTAGTCTTTTGTCTTCAGCTAAGTAGTTAATCATTTTTCTTCTGGAAACAATAACATGTCTCTAAAGCATTGTTTCTTGCGTGGCATTCAAACGTCATTTTTATTTTGAATGAAAAATTCTTTCCCCTTTGTGTTTTGGCAGGATTTGTAACTATTTATGAAGAAATAGTTTAACTGAGTACTATATAATTTACAATCTTAAGAAATTATCGAGTTGGAACCAAGAAATAGCAAGGAAATGTACAATTTTATCTTCCAGCAAAGGGACATCATTCCTGTATTATAGTGTATGTAAATGCACCCTTGTAAATGTTAATTTCCATTAAATATGGGATGGGGACTCAAGTTTCAGAAAAGCTACCAAGGCCTGAGTGCTTTGTAGCTAAGTTGCTCATAGCAGACTCACGGCTCCAAGGACTTGGGCAGACTTTTCATTCCCTCAGAATCCATTCACATTGGATTTTAAATGAAGTGGCTCTGGGTCACCAGACATCATTCCCTATATGGCACTTTAAAGGAAGAAAAGCCATGCTTGTTCTAACATGCATTGTAATTTAGCAGTCCCATTTGTATTTTTGCATATTTTTAAGAGTACTTTTAAAGAAAAAAAGTGATTTCCCTTAAAAAATGCGATGGCCTGGTACCATGTGGCGTTGCCTCCTCAAAGCGCTGTAAGTTAAATCCGTAGATTAAATTGGACAACAGAAACGTGTTCAGTGTGTGGAATGACAATATATATATGTTTGGAGAAGCATGATCATGTTTGTCTAAACCCGAGGTTGGTATATGCAGGGGCAGTGCGGTGGGCAGACCCCTCCTCCAGCCCCAAGGTGACATCGATCGCATCCATTCCGTAGGCAGCTCGATGGCGGCCACATGGACTTTACCAGCTTTCTCATCGTCTTTCCATGAATGAGAAAAATGATTTTCCTCTGTGGGTTGCACACAGTTTTTGTTTACGCATTTCCCCAAAATTAACTGTAGAATCCAGGACACAAACCATTATTAGTAGGCAATACAATTTTAAAATGTAATATATAGAGGTATATTTAGCCTCTTTCAGAAGTCAGTGGATTGAATGTCTTTTTATTTTAAATTTTACAGTCATTAAGGTTACTTATTTTCCTTGACTGTGTCCATTAACATTTATCCATATGCCTTTACAATAATTAGATTGTGAAAAGCTAACAAGTGTTGTAACAATAATCTATTGTTTGAGGTGCTTGCAGTTGTCTGAAAAATTAAAGTGTTTTGGTTTTTTTCCCTAGAAAAAAAAAAACTAGACCTATATTTCTTGCCACGCACTAAACTAAAATCACAATGGATTAAAGATCAAAATATTAACATAGAAATGCTGAACCGGCTGCAACAGAGGTTAGGTAGAACTCTTGACATTGGTGTAGGAAAAGAGTTTATGAACAAAACCTCAGTTGCCCGTGAACTAGCACAAACAAACAAGTGGAATCTCTTCCTATTGAAAAGCTTCTGTTAAAATAAAATAAAATAAAAAAAAAAGCTTCTGCACAGCAAGAGAAACCTCCAACAGTGTGAAGAGACAACCCACAATATGGGAAAAAATCTTCACCTGCTCTTCCTCAGACAAAGGTCTACTATCTAGAATCTATAAAGAACTTTAAAAAGTCAGACCTCCCAAATTTAAAGATCCAATCCAAAAATGGGCATCTGAAATGAACAGACATTTCTCAGACGAAGAAGTAGAAATAACACATAAAGATATGAAAAAATGTTCAATATCACTGGTCATTTGAGAGATGCAAATGAAAACAATGCTGAGATTCCACCTCAACCCAGAAAGAATGCCTGCTATTATGAAATTAACCAATAACAAATGCTGGCAGGGCTGTGGGGAAAGAGGAACATTGCTCCACTGCTGGTGGGAGTGTAGACTGGTGCAACCACTGTGGAAATCAGTATGGAGATACCTCAAAGAACTAGGATTAGAGGTCCCATTAGACCTAGCTATTCCCCTGCTGGGCATCTTCCCAAAAGAATTAAAAGAATCATACCACAGTGATATATGTGCACCCATGTTCATAGCAGCACAATTTGTAATAGCTAAAACTTGGAAGCAGCCTAATTGCATATCAACTGGAGACTGGATAAAGAAAATGTGGAATTTTTTATAAAATGGAGTACTACTCAGCCATAAAAAGTGAGAAATTAGAGACATTTATAGCTAAATGGATGCACATTGAGGCGATACTCTTAAGTGAAATAAATAGGACACACATGTATAAATACCAAATAGTTTCTTTAGTGTGAGAAACTGAAAGTGTAAATAAGGGCTAAAAGGTATAATAGATAATGTGAAACAGGAAGAAAAGGGGCAAAGGGGAAGGGGAAGTGGGAGGGGTAGGGGAAAGGAAAGAAGGGAATGGAATTAATATGAGAAAATGAAAACATGGAAACAAAGTCTTTGTAAAGAGGGAGGTGTGGAGGGGTTGAAGGGAGGGCAAGGGAATAGGGAAAAAATAAGAACCAAGAGAGATTATGTAAAGGTGCAAATTTCCAATGATGAACATCATTATATTATATATGTAAAATGTACCAATAAAATTAATTTTTAAAAAAAGAAATCCATCTAACAGGAATAAGATGAAAATAACATGATGGAAAATATATGAGATGTAAAGCTTAATCAAAATAAATTATAGTAGCTATAATAATATCAGGCAAATTTAATTTTAAAATATAATATTATTTGGGACAAAGAGGGACATTTTCCAGATGGGAATGTAGTTCAGGGACACAGTGTGTGCTTAGCATATGTGAGCCCCTGGCTTGGAATCCAGCACCACCACCAATAAAGAAGGACGTCTCCTAATGACAAGAGAACCAACTGAGCAAAAAGATAATGTGATTTCATACACAGGTACAACAAATACAGACCCTCAGACCACTTGAAGCAAAAACTGATGAGTGAAAGAATAAGTACAAGATAAAAAGGAAAGAAAAATGAGAATTGTCATCAATGAAATAGAAACCAAGTAGAGGAAATCAATAAAACCAAAACATTCTTGGAAAAGCACAATAGAACCAATAGCTTCCTGATTTTCTAATTTCTGGATGCCTTCTACTTCCTTTTTGGCTTACTCAGTCCTTCCACCACCAGCATCATAATTTCTGTGTTTGGAAAAACTCAAATGGCTCTATTTTCCTCACCAAATACCTAATGATACAGAAGTTAAAAGTTTAAAAGCAATTATGAGAGGAATGGAAAGAGCGAGCTCTGTGGAAAGACAAAGAAGGAGTTGACGGCACTGGCCTGGAGAACAGGGCCTCTCAGGGAGTGAGGAGTTGTCCCCCTTGGTGACCAGAAGGAAGACAAGACCCTGTTCTACTTCATCAGCCTCCCATGGAGACTGTTACTGCCTTTCAGAAAGTTATTTCTCCCTCAGAGAGCAATGAGAATTAAATCTCTCAGTGATGTCTTTTCCTTTACATCTCATTTTAGTCACTATTACTGCTCCTCTGTAGGGAACAGGGAAAGGAGACATTACCAGAACCCCTGCAATGGGCCCTGGTCTCCTGTGAGCCACAAGAGCACAAGGTGAACTAGAGAATAAAGACAGAAAATGAGACTTAGAGAAGAAATTGGGTTCTGGGACTAATCAGTGCTGCTCTGGGCAACAAAGACAAAGGCACCCCAAGCTTGCCACTATTTATTGGGTTCACCGAGAGTAACAGATGACCCAGAGGGCAATGATAATCAAAAATTGATAAGAATCTTATAATCAGAGGAAGCATCAGATGACTTGGAAGGTGGCTGTAATCCTATGAGCATGAGGATCTTATACTGATGAGGATCTTATGCTGATGAGGATCATAGGTTGAGGAGAAGCTTATGTTGATTAGGATGGTAAGATGAACAAAAATGTTCTTACAGTAGTAGGTGGGATGAGTTAAGCTGACAAGGAATCTGTCCCTCCCCAGGTGAAACCTTTCTCTTACTACTCATTTCTCAAGGAACCAAGATGTCTTTAGCTGATGTAATCCTCCCCAGGAGCATCACGGCATCTCAGGACCACTGAGGACTCAGCTATTACTGGAGACAAAAATGGAGTTATGTCTCAACATGCCATAGCCAGCCTGTAGGCAGGAGAAGTAAGCCTGATCATAATTTAATTGTGAAATGATTTTTCCCAAAAATTATGTAGAATGGCTCCCGACACTGGTCACCAAAACCCCCAGGCCCTCTGTCTTCTCAGCGAATGCTCGAATTCCATTCCCTCTTGCCTTTGGATGATTTCTAAGGAGTAGATATGGCCCTCCCAGGATGGGGTACTGCACTGTCAGTTCCAAACTGCCCAGAATGCCCCTTTCCTTCTGCCACTGTCACCTATGTTGTTGGAGTGGTGCATTTCCCATCAGCCCAAATCTGAGGATTAGATAGAGCAGAACTCATGGCTGACCCCAAACACACCTGGAAAATGAACAAGAATCACAGCAGCATTGTTTCAAGCTTCTGGATTTGACAGCTGTTTACTGTTACTGGATAACCTAGCCCAGGAGTGGCGAACCTATGGCATGCGTGCCACAGCGGGCACACAGAACCCTCTCTGCTGGCACATGAGCCAAGTCGCCCCAGAAACTGAGCATCAGTTAACAGTTGTTTTTTCTAAATTAAAACCTCAGTGCTCAGGTTTAATTGCACTGTTGGCACTTTGCAATAAGTAAGTGGGCTTTGGGCTGCAGTTTGGGCCCTCGGTCTCTAGAAGGTTTGCCATCCATGACCTAGCCCCGTGTACTCTGATAAGGTGACACTGTCCAGACACCTCAGCTTCTGCAACCACAGAGTG